CTGTGGATGCAGCATCCTGGCCAGGCTGGGGCTTCCTGGAGCAAGAAGGATGTGACATCTGGAGTCCAGGAAAGGGTCAAAGCAATGCCAAAGGGACTGGAGCATCTGCTGCACGAGGAGGAACTGGAATGTTTTGGGATACCTACGTGTATACTTGCCTAGTGGGAGGGAAGGAGGAGGGAGCAGGCTCTTCCCAGTGCAGCCCAGTCACAGGACCAGCAACAACAGGCACAAACTGGCCTCCAAAAGTTTGGGGTTTTTTTTGCAGCGAGGCTGATCACAGAGGGTGCCCAGAATAGGCTGCCCAGAGGGGTTGTGGTCCCTCCAGCTGGGAAGGCACCCACGGCTGCGTGAGGGGCAGGAGGTCCCTAGGTCCCCACTAGCCCCAGCTCTGTTTGTCAGGGTGTCCAAGTCAGTGTCCAACCTGGTATAAATATCTCCTAGGAGGGATCGTCCCACTACAATCCTTCTTGCCGCAAGGCCTTCCAGCTCCAGGGTACTGATGCTCTGGTGGAATTTCCCCATTCAAGTCCCAGTGGCCACAGCATGAGCAGCTGGAGCAGGGCCTGGAGTGGGGAATCTCCAGCCTTGAGCTCATTCCCAAAGGCTGTGCTCCCCAACTCTTTTGCCCCCTGGTACAGCTCCCTACCAGAGCCACGGGGTCACTGCAAGAGCTCCTGTGAACTCGGGGGGCTGCACACTCTGCTGGTGTTATGAAGCCCTGCACCCCTGCCTGTCTTGAGCACTGACTCCCCTGCTGTCACATCTGCGCAGTCCTTCCAGGCACTCCATCAGAAACAGGGCTCCAGCTCTGCCATGCTGCCCTTCCAGCAGCTGTTGGGATGCTATCAAAGAATTTCTGGCTGGTTTAGGTGGGAAGAGACATCCAGTCACATCCACAGCCACCAGCAGGATCACTTTCCACAGAGCAAGTGGTGAGGACCAGGGCCAGCCACAAGGAGGCTGAACCTCCCCCAACTGCCTCAGAAGGCTTCATCCCTGTCCTCTGATTGAGGGCCAAGGAACACAGCCCACCACAGTGCCCCCCTCCCACCCACCACTCCAGCCCTGACCCACTCAGCAGCACTGAGTGTCCCGTGGAGGTTTCCTCCCACTCCTGGAGCTCCCACATCGTGGCCATATCCCCCCAAAGGGTCTGTGTCTGTCCCTCCCGCAGCTCCCAGCCTCGCCCACCATCCTGGGGCAGGATTGCTTCTCTGCTCATGTCCCCACCTGTGGACACGTGTGTGCAGACGCCTGTGACTGGCTCACTGGTGGTGGGGACCCATCGTTCCCATCCCTCTGTCCCATTTGCTTCCTACTGCTCCCACTCCTGGGGAGCTGTGAGCATCGCCTCCCCCCGAAGCACATGGTGTGTCCCCCCTGACCCAGAACACCCACGGCCTTGTTCCAGAGCTGGGGGGTTCGTGCTGCTGGCCCAGCTGCTCCTACCCAGCCCTGACCCAGCTCATGCTGTCTCCCACTTCTGAGCCCTTAGTCCCTTTCCAGTGAGCCCTTTCCCTATTCCCAGTGAGTCTGTTTGTCCCTTCCTGGTAAACCCATTCCACCACTCCCAATGAGTTGTTTCCCCATCCCTGGTGAGCCCCCTCTTCATTCCTCATAAACCCATTCCCCATTCCTGATGAGCCCATTACCTTGCTCCCACTGAGCCTCTTTCCCTGTTCCCACTGAGCCTCTTTCCCCATTCCCCATTTCCAGTGAGCACATTCCCAGTTTGCCCAGTCCCTGGTCCTGCACAGCCCCAGCTGCCCCCACCCCTCACTCGCTCACGCCTCGGGTTTCCACCACGTTTTATTACAAAATCGGTGCGGACCGGTGCCGGGCCAGTTCCGCTCCCGCTCGCCGCAGCGCTGGGGCTGAGGCGGGCTCAGCCCGTGCCGGTGTTGGTGCCGAGCGCCGCACAGTGCAGGGGCCAGGGTGGCTGGAGGCCGGTGCAGCCCGGGCTCATGGGGGGTTCGGGGTGTCCGGGGATGCCGGGGTCTGGGGTTCAGCGCCCCACGGCGTCGAGGATGCGGCGATTGGAATCGGCGCGGGCGCGCTGGCTCTGGGCGCGGGCGAGCAGCAAGAGGTGCCGCAGGAGGTGGAACGTGAGGTCGATGGAGAGCGGCGGCTCGTCCCGCCGCCCTCGCCACGGCCCCGGGGGCGGCGGCGCCAGCGGCGGCCAGAGCGGCTGGTCCTGAGCCCCGGTCCCGGCCGCCGGGATGGAGCCGTCGGTGGTGGCGGGGCGGGCGGCGGCGGGCGGCGGGCGGGCGAGCAGCAGCAGGAGGGTGAGCAGTGCCCGCCGCATCCTCGCTCCTTCTGCACCTACGGGGCAGGGGCTTAGCGCCGCAGCAGAGACTGGGGCGGCGGCGGAGGCCCGACGGGAACCGCGGCCCCGGCGGCGCGGGGACGGTCCCGGGCGCGGAGCCCCCTCCCGCCCCGTTCCGCCCCCTCTGCGCGCCCCGGCCCCGGTGCCGTCCCTGCCCGGTCCCCAAGCCCCGTCCCGTACCCGGTGCGCTGTGCCCGTGCCCTGTTCCTGCCGGTGCTGGCGGCGCGGCGAGCGATCCGTCCCGCGGGAGCTGAGCCGGCGGCGCGGCCGGGGGTTATATCGGCCCGGGAGCCCGGGCTGACGTCAGCGCCGGGCACGCACCGGGCGGCGGGGGCGGGGGAGAGGGGGCACCGGAGCGGCGGGGAGCGGGCACCCGGCGGCGGGACGGGCTTGAGGGACGGAGGGGCGGAGAGGCAGAGCCCGCTCTCGCCGGTTTCGGGAGCCACCTCTCCGATTCTTTTCTGACGCCCACCAGAGAGGCACGGCGGGGCCGGGGCCGGTGAGAGCAGGTGCCTTGGGCCGTGCTAACCCTCGCTTCCCCTGTCCCCCGGTTTCCCGGTCCCCCCGTTCCCTCTCCCGGCTCTGCCGCATCTCCGGCCTCATTCTCCGCCGCTGTCCGCGGTGCTGAACGGCCGGGACGCGCTGGGGCACCGGGGCCGGTGGGCTGTACAGGTGAGCTCCCGGTGAGCCCTCAGTGAGCTGTACGGGGCTAGCCGCGGCTTCTCGGCGTGGAGCCCTTGCGTTCCCGGGCGGAACGGCCGCGTCGAGCAGCGGCGTCCAAGCAGCGATCGGGGCGGGAGGGACTCCTGGGCGGAGGTGGGGATACCCCAAGCACCGGCAGCTCCGGGACGGGGCGGTCACGGGTGGGACCCCCAGCCTGGCCGTGGCTCAGCGTCCCGGGCGGAGCGGGCGGTGCCGAGGTCGAACCGCGGGGCCGAGGCCGCAGACGCCCCGAGCGCAGCGGCGGCATCGGCCAAGTCCTGTGAGTCATAGAATGAAGGCACCGGAGCTGGCAGCGCCGTGCTGGATTCAGGGTGTTCCGTCGGGGCACCGGCACCGCTGCCAAATGGTGAGGTGGCTGCTGGGGCTCCACACTACTGCCGGCATCCCCCCGAGCGCTCCCCACCGCTGCCGGCAGCCCCCGAGCGCCCTGCGGCTGCCGGCCGAGCGTAGCCGAGCTGACACCCAGCGCCGACGCTGCTACAGGGGCAGAGCAGCGGGGCAGTGCCGGTGCGGGGCACAGCCGGGCACAGGGGCTCAGCCCGGCCCCTCGCACGGTGTGTCCCACCCCGGGTGGCACAGGGGCGGCAGGGCACGGCCCTGCCCGCAGCGAGCAGCACACGGTGTCGTGCCCCCATGACGTGATCCGGCATGAAGGCTGGCACCGGGCACCGCCTCCTGCAGCGGCAGGGCAGAGCCCTCAGCAGGGGCTGGGCTCAGCCCCCCGAGCCCTGGCAGACCCATGCTGGGGCGGCTGCTCCTGGGGACAAGTGGCTCATTCCACGTGGCTCTTGCCATGCTCGCAGCTCTCATTGCTGACAGAGAGAGCCTCCAGCACCCCCAGAGGGAGCTGCAAGAGGCTCAACACCTCAGAGCTGCAAATTCCTGCCACCCACAGCACCCACCCCACTGGCTGTAGAGGACTTGAGCCCCACACAGAACCCCCCAAGTACTGGTGCCATCCGTGCATGGCCCCATCACCTGGCCCCAGCCCTGTGCTGCCCCATTGAGCACTGCTGGGGGAAAGGGGGCTGCAGCTGCAGCCCCTCCAGTCCCCTGCCTCACCCCTCAGCACTGTGCAGGATTTGCCTCCTCTGTATTCCAGGTTGTATCCACCCGGCCGGAGCAGCCCCAAAGCTGGGGCCAGCACAGAACCAGACCATGGGGAGGATGAGGGTGGAGGACAGACGGTAGCACCCTCCATGAAGACCATGCTGGCAGGGCCCCGCTGGCTCTGTCCAGCTGTGTGGGGCTGCAGGAGCACAGGTGAGGGGGCCAGGGCCCAGGGCTCCACAGAAATGGGAGGAACCCCCACGGTGCCACCAGCTCCACTTGGAGCCCCTGGTTGGGATGTGCTGGGCAGGAACACTGTGGGAGCTGGACGCTGTGAGTGTGCGACACTGTGTGCTCGCTGCCACTGCAGGATGAGCGTGGACACACATCCCCAGGGGCAGCAGCACAGGCAGTGGCAGCTCCACAGGGCTTCTCTCTGGCATGACAGGCAGGCTTGTCTCAGACATGGCACAGGTGGATTGTGGCCCTGGCCCAAATCCAGCTCCAGCCCTACCCCCAACCCTTTCTGGACCCTCCCCAGATGCACAGCCTTGTACCAAGCAAGCCCTGACCCTGGGGGGACTCTGCACCCAGCATCAGGACTTCGGCTCCATCGACCTCATTCCAATGCTCTGCAGCTGCGGAAGCACCATCACAGCCCATGGAACAGCTTCAGTAGCACCTGATGAACCCCTAAACCACCACCCACCCTCTGTCAGAGTCCCCTCCCCTCTCTATCCGGTGGGGCAGACCACTCCAGCCCGCAACCCCTAGCCCCATGCTCAGTGCCTTGACATGAGGTAGAGTGGACCTGTTGATCCATAACAGGACAGTTGCCCTGGAACAGCACTTTCAGGGCCTGGGGGCATGCTGGCCACAAGCCCCAGGGCCCCAGGAATCAAAAGTGAAGACGACTGTTTATTGATGCTTCGACTGTCCACAGCAGAGCTACAGCAAACCCTGTTTTCAGGGGGAGCATCCCCAGCCTGCAGTGAGCCCAGTTCTGCGCCCACAGCACAGCCAGCCCAGGGCCAGTCCTGCTCCATTTCCACTCCTCTTTTCCCTCGGGATGTGCTGTGGGGAAGGTCAGAGTGACACTCAGGACAGGAGCACCCCGTGTGCAGGGCTTGGAAATGGCTGAGCACAGAGAGAGAAGTGCACCGTGGGCAGAGTCGCTGCACAGCATGGCTGGAGCAGATCCAGGCCTGTCCTGGCACCATCTTCTCCCTGGGGCAGGAGGCCGTGGCCATAGGGGATGGTGTTCCCCTGAGAAAAGCGCAGGATGGCTGCTGCAGGACCCCGTGTATCCCAGCCTGCCCACGGCCACGCGTGCCCATGGCCAGGGCTCCGAGTTGTGCTGGTCTGGAGCGCACAGGCCGGGCACAGGCACAGGACACGGATTGTGCCTCACATCCGATTCGCTTTCCAGGACAGGTAGCAGTTCCAGACGATGGCAACACATTGGACAACAGCCAGCCTGGGGACAGAGGAACAGGGTCTGCAGCTGCCGGCTCAGGGGGCACGGACTGGGCACCAGGGCCACAACACTACCTGTGCTGCAGAGGCACGAAGTAGAAGTTCGCAATTTGCACGGGTGGCCAGATCTGGGCAGAGAAGAGGAGGAGCGGTGAGGAGCCCTGCCAGGGTCCCTGTCCCACACCCACCCCTGCCTGGCACTCAGGGTGTCCCACAGAGCCCACGGCAGCCCCATGGAGGAAACGGACAGGGACAGGGACACAGATGTGCGAGCACTCACACAGTAATTGGTCATCAGGGCATCCATGTAGTCCTGGAAGAAAAAGGAGCTGTGAGCACTCAGGGCCCCCATCCTTGCCGCTGGTGCCCTAACTCCACACTGGAGTACTCCACACTGCTGGGCACGGAGCCCCTGCAGCCCTGCCCATGCCTTCCCAGAGCCATGAGGGTGGCAGGGAGAGGGTGACCAGAACCATCCCCACTGAGAGCCCTTCGTGCCATAGCCAGGGCACATGGGCCCATGGCTTGGCCCCCCAGTGTGGGCTGTGAGCCCCTTTCCAGCTCAGTGCTCCCCCAGACCCCTCCTGGGCACCACATAGCAGAAACGGAGAGGGGCACTGAGCTGGGGCAGCTGCTCCAGGAGTCCAAGGTGCCGCCTTGTCCTCGTGCCACAGCCACGGCCGTGTCGCATCCCTGTCCCGTGGCAGCAGGACAAGTCCCTCCTGCAGCTTGGCCGTGACTCAGCCAGGAGGCCGGGCTCCTCCTGGCGCTGGCCAGCAGCCCAGGACGGGGTGAGCGGGCGCGGGGTGATGGATGCTCTGCTGACGCTTCCTCTGCGTGGGGAGAGGCGGATGCGCCCCAAGCCAGGGGTGAAGGTGCTGCCAGCACTGCTGCCCATCCCCAGCCCATCAGCCCCTTCCAGGCCAGGGCTCCCAGGAGCCACAGCTCACACGAATCACCAACCACGGCAGGATTCCCTGGGGAAGGCAAGGCAGATCCACGGCACGAGCTGGTCAGGATGCAGCAGGGGAAGATGGATGGGAGCACTCAGAGTGCTGCCTGTGCCCACGATCTGTTCACGCGTGCCCTTAGGGTGCCTTGGAGCACCCCATGCCCAGCTGTAGCTTGCATAGAGCCTGACAAAAGCAGAGGTGATGTGATCCCGCCCTGGGATCTCCTTCCTGCGCTCTGGGGCGGGATGAGGGGCACATGCTGGCAGCCCAGTGTGTAACAGGCTGGAGACTGGGTGCCCCCACACAGAGGAATGAACACTGGTGGTGGCACCTGGGCAGAGCTCCAGCCAGGCTGGGGCCGTGCTCAGGCAGCAGCAGTGAGAGAGGCTGGCGCTGCCGCTCCTGGCAGCCACGCGACCACCCCAGCACTCCTCATCCTGTGGCAGGTGGGCACCCACTCCCCAGTGACTCACACTGGACACGCTGACTCAGTGTTCACACCGGTGTCCAGCAATTACTGTTAATGGGAGTCATCTTGGTAATTGCTCCGGAGGCCCAGCCAGGAGCTGGGCTGGACAGCACGCTCGTGGCACCCATGACTGGCCCAGGTGGGACCCCAGGACTCGCCCACAGGACACCCATGCCAGAGGAACTGGCCCTGGCACCAGTACATGGACTGGCAGCACTGGGCACCCAACACGCCCAGGGCCGTGGGACACAAGTGGGAGCAGCCGTCAGGGCCAGCACACAGAAGGAGCTGCCAGGGCCCCAGGGTGCCCAGGGCAGCAGCACATACCTGCTGGATCTTGGACCAGTTCTCCTCCACCGACAGCCCATTCGTGGCCCCTGTGACAGCCAGGAAGCAGCCAAGGAAGCACGGAGCGAAACCCCCCTGCGAGAGAGGAGCCCCGGCCGATGCTGAGGAGCTCATGGTGCTTGGAGCCAGGCTGGCCATGGGCAGCCTCTGCCAAAATGACCACCTCAGCCCTCCACGGCAGCGAGGCTGGGCCCAGCTCAGGCACTGGGCTCTCAGAGCAGGCTGGAAACTTGCCACAGGGACTATCCTGTGTCCCCACTGCCCCACAGTCCCACACATCCTCACCCATGTCACACCAACCTGGTCCAGGATCACCTTCTTCACAGCCACAACTTTTGTATTCCCAGGGATGAGCCAATCCAGAATCCTGTACCAGCTGCCCACAACAGGGCCCTGCAGGAGCCAGGGGGTGAGGAGCATTATCTGCCCTCACTGGTCACAGCGGTCAGGGCTGAGGGCCTCCAGGGCAGGTTACCTGGCCCTGCTCCAGCTCTGGACCACAAAGACAAGCTCATTCTATGCTGCTCCTGCTCCATAGAACTGGCCTTGCCATGGCCGCTGGAGGTGGCATCAGGGTGGCCCAACTCACAGTCCACCACCACAGTCCCACCCTGCTGTAGGAGCCATCCCATCCCATCCCATCCCATCCCATCCCATCCCATCCCATCCCATCCCATCCCATCCCATCCCATCCCCACTCACCACAAAGCAGAAGCCAATGCCCATCATTTTCAGGGTGCGGAGGCAGTGGTGCCCATGCAGCCCCCGCTGCTCCACCAGCTGCTGTGCAATCACATCTCCAGCTCCCATGAGGGCCCCTGCAACCAGCACAGCCCATTTAGGCAGGCCAGACCCCCGTGTGACTTGCCCACAGCTGGGCCCCCTGCCCCAGGATGCCTGAGCCTGTTCCAGCCCTGTCCTAGCTGCAGCTCCCCAGCCTGCACCAAAGCCCATGGCACAGGCGTCCCGCTCTGCCAAGTGCCTGCACCAAAGCCCATGGCACAGGTGTCCCGCTCTGCCAAGTGCCTGCCCCAAAGCCCATGGCACAGGCGTCCCGCTCTGCCAAGTGCCTCAGGGCTCTCACCACAGTATCTCTGGTCAAAACGGTCCAAGCTGCACCTCCTCCCAGTGACCCGGACACGGGGCAGACCCATCACCCAGGCTCCACGGTGCTCTCAGAGCAGAGCAGAGCAGAGCCCGCCCAGCTGCTGCCCATGATCTCCACCGCAGCCTTTCCCACAGCACCCCCAAATCTCTCCCTGGACACCGGGCAGGTTCTGCCGGCTGTGATCCCCTCCCTGGAGACCAGCTCTCTGTCTGCATCCCCCACCAGCCGGGATGGGCAGAACGTGCTCCCCGCTGCCCCAGCCCTTGCCACAGCTGGCTGCTGGCACAGCTCCTGGCCCTGTTTCTAGATCAGTGTCCCTGGTGGGGTGCTGCCCGGCTGGGTCTCTGGCAGCTCCTGCTCTATCCTACACCCCTGACCCCTTCGACGCAACTCAGCTGGCCCAGTGCTGCCCCTCCAGCTGCTCCCCCGGCCCTGGCGGCTCCTGCTCCCTCTCCCCACTCCCCCGAGACAGTTCTCTGGCAGGTCTCCACCCCGCTGCCGCTCCGCTCCGTCCTCGGAAGCCCTGAGCCCAGCAAACCCTCAGCCTGACGGGCGCCAGCCCCAGTAGCCCCTGTCCCGACCACCCCAGCCACGACCAGCTCGGTACCAGCCCTGCCCCAGGGACTTAGTCAGTGGTTCCCCATGGACAAGGGCGCAGCTCCCTGTCCCCACACCATGGCATGAGGTTCCTAAAGCTCACCCGCAGGGCCGGCCCAGGCTCTGCAGCCCCACAGAGCTGCTGCTTCACAGGCTCCATCTCCCACCCCAGACCAGCCCCAGGATCTGAGGTCTGTCCCCCACACCCCCCGTGATGGCAGAGCAGCCCCACCAGCTCACGGGCCACAACAGCACCGGGCAGGGAGTGGAGGCAGGAGCTGGACTCCAGCACAGCACAGCCTGAGCACTTGCGGGGCAGAACTCCCAGGAGCTGCACTCCTGGGAGCTCCACTCCCGGGATCTGCATTCCCAGCAGCTGCACTCCCCGGAGCAGCAGTCCCAGCAGCTCCACTCCCTGCAGCTGCACTCCTGTGTTGCAGAGCTGCAATTCTCAGAGCTGCACTCCCAGAGCTGGGTGCAGGGGCACGGTACTCATGGAGAAGACAGCAGGCACTGCTGTTACTCATCCAGTGCTGAAGGCTCTGGGTACAGTGCCCAGAAGTGATGAGGCTGTGCTGGGAGGGACAGACCTGTCTGTGCATCCCTTCCTGGGCTTGGGGATGCAGCCAGATCCAGCCCCCTGCAACCCTCTGGCAAGTGCCTGCCCAGAGTGCCACCAGCACAGCCCAGCCATAGCTCCTGTAGGGGGTTGGAGCTTTCATCCCAGCCAAACCTGGTGGCCTAGCCAACACCCTGGTTGATGTTGTGACCAGAGGATTCTGAATGGGACCCAAACCTAAGCAGGGCACCATCGCCATGGCCATGGCATTGCCAGGGCAGGAGCAGGGGACTCTCTCCACAGGCAGAGAGGGACAGGAGGGTCACGGCTGCAGGCACGTGCTACTGCCCACTGTGTCCAGGCCCTGCTGGCAGCCTGGCCCAGGGCCCAGGATGCAGGAGGCAAAGCTCTGCCTGACCCCAGAACCCTCAGACTGCAGCTCGGCCAACAAGTGTGGTTGGGCACAGTGGGCACTGCCAGCTGCCAGCAGCTCCCTGGCCTGGCCCCAGCTGGCAGCACTGGGGTCTCTGGAAGCAGCAAGAGAAGGCAGGGCTGGAGGCTGGGATGGACCTGGCACAGGGCACAGGACCCGGGAAGATGCACGGACCACTGCAGGGGCAGTAGTTGAGGGGCTGAGCTCAGCTACGATGGGGATCACTTGTGGAAACTCCGAGGAGAGCAGGAGCGTTCACACCACCCTGGCTGGAGCTGCGGCAGGAGAGCCCAGCCCAGGGGCAGAAACTTCTGGGCTGGTGGAACCATATCCAGCAGCAGCCCAGCACCCACAGAGGGCCGTGCCTGCCACGGCTCAGCCCTGCAGCCCTGCAGGCTGACGGAGCCCTGGGGCAGGGGCTGTGCCACAGCTCCTGAAGCAGCAACAGGCAGAGCAGAGCCGAGGAGCCAGCCCAGGGCACAGCGGGCAGGGGAGGTGAGGGCAGGGCCAGTCCTGGGGAGCCCTCCCAGCTCCACACTGGGCTCCTGCCAAGCACAGGGGGATGTGCTGCCAGCAATAGACTCCATGACATCCGATAAAAATAACAGCAGGAACAGCTAAGCAGCCTGGCAGGGCCCCAGCGGCCAGGCAGGGGGGCACCGTGCCACCCCCCTGCGGCCATCAGGGCTGAGGGCCAGTGACTGCACAGTGAGGGGAGCCCCCAGCTCAGCAGGGCACCCCCAGACCCTGGGATTGTGCTTTCCCAGCATCCTGGGCTGGTGGGAGCAGGAGGACAGGGCAGCAATGGCAGGGCAGGGAGAATCAGGGAGGGGGCAAAGTGGGGGTGACAGGTAGGCTGCAAGGAGGACGCAGGGACCCCCCAGCTCCCACCCATCAGCGCAGCACAGCCACCACACAGCCCCGAGAACACAGGGAACCAGCAGGACACGCTCTCCCACCACCCAGAGTCAGCCCCAGGGGGGCTGGGGGGAGGGAGCAGAGGAGGGAGGAGATCTGCCTGGTGCCCCAGGGCTACAGATCCTCGGAGCAGAGGCATGAGCCAACACCGGGGCAGATTCATGGCACCTCACAGCTCTGCAAGCAGCAGCAGCGTTAGGGAGATTGAATCCCCTTGCAGAGCCCTGGGAGCCTCTCCTCAGGCAGCACCTCTGTGCCTTCACCCCTGAGTGCTGGCAAACATGGAAGAGCTGAGGCCCTGTGAATTCCCGGTGCTGCAGCTCAGTATCCATCCCCTCCAGGTGAGGGGGACCCCGGGACAGCATCCCCCCAGCTCTGTGCGTGAGGGCTGCACCCCCTGACTGTCCCCACGAGCATTCTGGCTCCATCCAGCACAGACCGACAGAGACGTCCTGAGCCGGGAGCGTGGCAGGGCTCTGCCCCCGGTGTGACGCACGGGGGTCCCTGCCGATCCCCCTAGGACAGACCCCTGAGGCACTGGAGAGCCCCTGCCCTGTCTCCGGCGCGGTGATGGTGCCCACAGGGCGGGTGAGGGGCTGGGGGCTGTGCGCGGGCGGAGGGGCTTGTGCAGGGGGAGTTTGTGTGCTGGGGAGCGTGGCCTTGGGCCGGCAGGGACAGGGCAGGGACAGTTCCGTGTGCTGGGGCCGGGGAGGGTGGCCAGGGGCCGACAGGGGCAGGGCAGGGGCAGTCGGTGTGCCGGGGCCCGTGGCCGTGTGCCGGCAGGGGCAGTCAGTGTGCCGGGGCCGGGGAGGGTGGCAGGGGCCGACAGGGGCAGGGCAGGGGCAGTCGGTGTGCCGGGGCCCGTGGCCGTGTGCTGGCAGGGGCAGTCGGTGTGCCGGGGCCGGGGAGGGTGGCCAGGGGCCGACAGGGGCAGTTCCGTGTGCCGGGGCCGGGGAGGGTGGCCAGGGGCTGACAGGGGCAGGGCAGGGGCAGTCGGTGTGCCGGGGCCCGTGGCCGTGTGCCGGCAGGGGCAGTCGGTGTGCCGGGTCCGTGGCCGTGTGCCGGCAGGGATAGGGCAGGGGCAGTCGGTGTGCCGGGTCCGTGGCCGTGTGCCGGCAGGGGCAGGGCAGGGACAGTTCCGTGTGCTGGGGCCGGGGAGGGTGGCCAGGGGCCGACAGGGGCAGTCGGTGTGCCAGGGCGGGGAGGGTGGCCAGGGGCCGACAGGGGCAGGGCAGGGGCAGTCGGTGTGCCGGGGCCCGTGGCCGTGTGCTGGCAGGGGCAGTCGGTGTGCCGGGTCCGTGGCCGTGTGCCGGCAGGGATAGGGCAGGGGCAGTCGGTGTGCCGGGTCCGTGGCCTTGGCCCGGCAGGGGCAGGGGCAGGGCAGGGCAGGGCAGGGCGGGGTGTGCGCTCCGTGCCGGGCTCTCGGGGCGCGGCCGCCCCGTCCCTTACCGGCTGTGAGCGCCTGCACCGCCCCGGGCCGCCGCGCCAGCAGCCGCCCGCAGCCCCGCCGCAGCGCCGCCATGGCCGCGCGGCGCGTGACGCGGCTCGCCGCGCGATCCGTTCGCGACCGAGACTTTATTGGTCAGTAGCGGCCCAGCACCGTGGCCAGCAGCGCCATGCGGATGTACATCCCGTTCTCCGCCTGCCGGAAGTACGCGGCCCGCGGGTCCGAGTCCACCTCCACGCTGCGGAATTGCACCGTCAGCGGGCACCGCCCGCCCCTCCGGGGGTCCCCGAGCCCGCCCCGGGGGTCCCCGAGCCCGCCCCGGGGTCCCCGAGCCCGCCCCGGGGGTCCCCGAGCCCGCCGCCCCGGGGGTCCCCGAGCCCGCCCCCCCGGGGTCCCCGAGCCTCTGGCACCCCTGGGACCCTCAGGATCCGCCCTGACCCACGTGGAAGTCGTGACACCCGTCGGACCCGGCACCCACCGTACAAAGGAACAACCGCAGCCCCCGTGGCTCTGAGCTCTCCCCAGCCCTGCCCTGAACACCGCAATCCCCCCGCCCCTGACCCCCGGTGCCTTCCCAAACACCCCCAGCACACCACAGCTACCATGGCCTGGCCAGTGCCCCAGCGACACCACTGCCCCAGTGACACCGCTGCCACAGCAGCACCTCTGCCCCAGCTCCCCCAGCACCCTCCCACAGCCCCCGTGCCCCGAGCACCCCCCTTCTACCCTGTATTTTTCATACCCGCTCTCCCAGACACCTCCCCAGACCCTCCCTCCAAAGCTCCCCAGTACCCTGCAGCTGCCCCAGCCCTGTTCCCCGTCCCCACCTGATCTCGTTGACACGGGGCAGGGGGTGCATCACCACCATCCTCTCCTTGGCCCGGGTCATGATGTGGGGCGTGAGGATGAACTGCCCGAAGCACTGAGGGAACACACAGAGCCCTGAGCTGGGGCAGGGCAGTGCCCAGGCCCCGGAGGGCAGCAGGACCCAGGCTCCCCTCACTCA